ACACACACACACACACACACACACACACACACACACACACACACACAGACCTCATCCCCGTCCGGCCTTGTCTTTCGTCTCTCTTTCCACTGACTGAAATTAATTTCACTTCCTTTTCTCTGTTTCTCTCCCTCTCACTGCTTGGCCCTGTCCTCTCTTCACATAACATAATTTTTGCTCTTCCTCTTCTCCCTCTGTCCTCTTCCTACACGCTGTCCTCTATTACTGATATATGTCACAAAATGTTGTGGAGAAAGTCAGGATTTGGTGATGCTGAACCCTAATAGCGTGATCCCTGACAAACTCCAGAAATTGCTAGCTTGTGAGTGAAAATACCTCGATGACTATGGATGTGTGTGCATTGAAATGAAAATAAACAAATTTGCGCTCTCCTAGGGATGAATTTGAGTAATCTTGAATTTTCCATCATTAAGTGAAAACTGAAATTCATAATAACTCTGGAAATTGACCGAATTGCTGAAGAACTAATGGGAATCCAGTCACCCTTAGCTGCACTTCATTTAGTGAACTGTAGTTACTGCTACTTAACAAATGTTAGCACTCTGATATGAAAACCTAAGGTGGTAAACATGTCACAGTGATCACTCACTTAGCTCCAAGCACTACCGTGCCTGAGTACAGCCTCAAAGTAGATCTGTAGTCTTCTTATTTACTTATCCTTTGATCGGATTTTGATAAGATGACTCCTGATTAAATTGGGAGACTCTGGCGGGTTTAGATTGTTTTATTGTTTTTTTCAGGGATTTTGATGTGTTGCACCTCAGAGATAGTGAAGAGAGGCTTCCCCACACAGTTATACTGCCAGTCCAGGGACAGAGTGAGCTACTTTAAGGTTACAGTTTTTATTGCTGTTCACTGAAACTGAGCCTTGATAATAATGCTGCACACTGAACAGCTGGCACAAGTGTTTTTAATATCAGTGTACGGGTTATGACTGGCTGTTAATACAGCCATGCCTCATACAGGCAGCACCGGCATTAATGTAGGTGTTAAAAAAGCTTGTGTGTCTGTGCACACTGGTGGATGTGTGTCGTCAGATTATGTGTCTCTTTGTTCCGTCCCACATGTGCTGGGCCAGAGAGGAAGAGGATGCGTGGGGTGTTTTGACTTTTTCTTGTGATGCTTAAGCTAATTGAATGTATGAAAGTATGATCATAGGGAATAATGGTGGTAGGTTAATAAGGAAGATCATTAGTTGGCATGCAAGCTGTCTTTTCTGTGTACAGGATAACTAGCATCGAACCATTACAGTGATCACGTTTGAATGGATGAACAGAAATTAAATGTTCATCTACCTGTCGCACCAGATGGTGACCACTCCACAAAGAGTCCCTTTGACTGTTTGAGTCATCTGAAATCCTGGATGGCAAAAAAAAAAAAAGTGCTTTCACTGAATGACCCTTTCAAGCTCTACAAACATTCTCACCGAGGCATCGATATTGGTCTTTTATCCAGTCGCGTCCAATTTACTGTTAAAAATCTTGGTGTTTTTTATGGGTAGCTCCTTGACTTTTAACAATCAAACCAGGAATGTTGTGAAGGTCAGCTTTTATCAGCGGAGAATCATCACTAAGTCAAAGCCAGTGATGTAGAAACAGTTATCGACGACTTGGCACCTCTTGGCTTGACTGCTGCAGCTCCCTGTGTGTAGGATTGACAGTTTCCACCTTGATTGGAGATGGTTCAAACTGCAGCTGCTCAACGCTTAACAAAGAAAGCGCAAAGAAAAGAGAGCACATCACTCCGGTTTTCACCCAGCTGCACTGGCTACCAGTGAAGTTTAGAATAGACTTTAAAGTTGTATTATTATTTTTTTTTTATAGAGTCCTCCATGGATTATCTTCACAGTGCATTGCAGATCTTAAACTCAGTATTTTGCCTCCAGGTCAATGAGTCCATCATCCCAACAACTTCTCTCAGTGCCCTCCTCTCTCCCAGGCAGCTGGGCCTTTGCTGTTATTGGCCCCAGGCTCTGGAAAACTCTTCCTTCCGACAAAAGAACCTGCTCAACAATTGAGAATTTTAAATCAACTCTAAAGACCTACCAGTTTTTGCTTTTTTAATTTTCTTTCGACATCTGTTGTTTCAAAATGCGCTATATAAAAAAAAACAACATTTTATATTAAGTGTCCATATTGTTAACCATGTGCTATGGGAAGCTATGCTGTGCCTCGGTGGTTTGTTACCAGACTTTTTGGATGTTGCTAGAGGAGGTTATTGTAGATCAGATCCAAGCTAAAAAAGCCTTGAAGTCCAGTTTAGCTGTCCCTTTTCAGGTCCAGGTCCAAAGAAGAGTGGCTTCTATTGTTATCTTTGTCAGCAGAGTCAGCACTTTGCGCTGCCGTTGTTGCTTTTGTAAAGTAAACTGCTGGTCAGTAGTGGTTATGGCAAACCGGCAATCTTCTGCAGGCTCTTGCATGGCTGCAGTTGGAAGGTTGCTGAGCGTGGCCGCTTGCAGAGCACGCAGAGGAGATCTTGGGCAGGTGAAGTCGTAGTGGGCCTCACTGTCCTCAAAACAGAGCAGTGGATGAGCAGAAGTGGGCGCCCTTGGTTTTGTTAGACTGGCATTTAGAGGATGGTCAACATTGGATAGCCACATTGCAGATGCAGGAGGTGACTGCTACGTCTTAAAGTAAAAAATTCCATTTACATTGTACAAGCGAATGAATTCATCTGCGGGCTTTCTCGTGGTCCACTGGGAGACTTAAACTCCATCTCCATCCGTCGCTTTCTTGCTCATTTTTATCTCCACCCAGTTTTGCTTCTGTTATCTCTCTTTTAACTCCATTTTTCGTCTTACAAGTCTGTTTTTCTTCATCGTGTCTCTTAGGTCAAAATAGAGACGATAAAAACACACATTAGGGGATGGAGAGATGGAGAGGAAGGAGGGATGGAGGGAGGGGAGGGAGACGGGGAGGTTAATAGAGAGACAGATGGAGAAGAGGAGCTAATATAGCAGGGATAAGGAGGCTTAGAAAGTAATGATAAAATGCAGAGTGAAGTCATACGGTTGATTTGGCACCACTGCGAGGGAGTGTTGCTTGTTTTTTTTATGTGTGTGTGTGGCTTTGTGTGTTTATGCCTGTGTGTTCTTGACTGATGTCCTTGACTATATGACTGATAATATCGCTGCTTCAGGTCCCTGGTAAAGCAGACGGAGAATTTATGTGTGTGCGTTCGCATTATGTGCAAGAACGATAGTGTCTGCTTGAATGCATCCACTCCCTCGTGTCCTCAAATGCCACATCACACTCAGGCACACCTAGTTTGTTTTTGTAAAATCCTCCCAAGAATTGTACTTTTAATGATTTCATATTGGTTAATATCAATACTTTACCACCACTTGAGTTTATCAGTGTTCCACTTGCTTCTTCCTCCTTACCTTTTACTTCTTCTTTCATCTGTCCGTGTGTTTCAAAATGTTTTATTCCCCTTGCTTGCAACCATTCCTTACATCTCAGTCTGTCCCATTCAAGATGTGAGGAAGAGGCTGAATGAAAAGATGAGAGAAATCAGGAGACGCTTAAAATACACGAAACCCGCTGAGGGAGAGATGCTAGGATGCACGGTTGTAGTGAAATGACACGTCCCTTCCCTCTCTGTGTCATCTGAAGTAACATCAGTTGATGGTGTCACATATGGTTCACCTTCAAGTTTGTATTTGCACTAAAACGTAATGCACTGCAATTATTTTTAATTGCAGAGGGAAGAAGCACCGACTGTGTGGTGCGCTGCTGGAATACTGGAGCAGCAAATCCCGTCCCTGTCATCCAGTAAAACTTTAAAAGGACTCCAGAGTCTATGACCGAGTACCCAAGAGAGCCAAAGACATTAAGTGCAACAAAATCTGGGATTTATACTTTACTAGACAAATGCATCTCAGTGCCGTTGCACATCTGTTCTCAATGTTGTGTTGCCTGATCAAATGTTACACCAGTGTTTAGTGTCAGGCAGCCGTCAGCAAAAGAAATGCAAAAGATGCATAATTTTGAGGCCGCAAGAGATTTATGGTAAATCTGAGCTGGGAAGTCAAACACAAGCCTGACATTTTGTTGTTGTAAGTAACGGCTTTATCATGAGCAGTCTGAGCCTACAGGCTGTGAGGATCATTGAGGATCACTTAGGCCCTGAGACGGGGCTTGACTGACTGGAGGCTACTGAGGGAAAATGCATTGCATAACATGGCATCAGTCATCGTGAAAACGGTCTGCCTTTGGAACCGCACCAGGCTTCCATGTTTTTTGGGGGGGGGGTTTGTCACAGGTTATCTCTGGCCACGAGCATTGTTTTCCTGTGCATTAGTTGCAGTTTTGGAGTTACATGCTGGCTTTCTGTTTAAGTAAGACCCAAGAGTTGTTGAAGATATTATTTGTAGGACCAGCTTTCAGATGAACTGGGTAGTTTAAAAATATTGTGTTGTTATTGTGGGGTTTTCTGTGGGCCTAATGGTTGCACATGCTGTGACCAAACTGGTCTACAGTTTCATTCCCAGCTGGAGCTTTTGTTCTGGCCTTACTTTGTCTCTCTCAACACTGTGCTAAAAATGATATATTCAAGAATTGTGCAAGAGAGTCAATAGTAAGTGTTAAATACGGTCTACTTTGAGGTGTTGTATAATATTTAGATTTGTAAACTGGTATCAATATAAAGATTTATAAGATTTGTTTTTGCTGAAAGACACAGGCAGAAATTAGAAGATTGAAGAAAATAACAAAGCAGGGCGAGACTGTGTTAAAATCACAAACCATGCATAATATGGGTCACTGGTTCAGAAAGATATCTGACTCTGTATGCTTCCCAGTTTTTCTTATTGATGTTCTGTTGTGTACATGTAAACATGTGCCATTTTGCAGTAACTCACAATATTAAAGAATGATTCTGGATCCAAAAATCCCTTTTCAATTGGGCCAAGTCCCACCTTGGTAAAACCTAGCCAATCACACGACCTTCTTACATTTTTTTTCTCTTCTTCTGCAAAGGTATTTCGTACTGACTTCATCACTGCCATGAAGCTGCCGGACTCAGCCCAGCTCGGCCCAGACGACTTCTACGTGCTTTCAGACCCTTGGAGACAAGAGTGGGAGAAGGGAGTGCAGGTCCCAGCCAACCTAGAGGCCATACCGGAGCCTGTGGTCAGGTAGGAAATACACAGAGAACACACCGATAAACACCCAAACCCATGCAGTAGTCTGGTATTTAGTACCAAAGGTATTTTTTCTTTTGTTCTCCATTTCATTAAAGTCTGAAAGGCAGATTTAATCTGCATTGCTCTTGTAAGCACTAACAGCTGCCAATGGGGACACGAAGTTGCTGCCTTTAAAGAGATCTTGGAAAAGTTTTGCATTTGAACTTTTGTTTGGCATGACTAATTGCTTTTCTTTTTTCTTTTTGGAATATTGTTAGATTGTAGATTTTGTTGCAAAGTTCATACAACTGTGAAAATTAAATTTGCTAAGGTAATTTTGATAAGCTCTTGTAAATGTGGCTAAACGAGCAGACGAGATGCCTGAAGTTCCAAAGAGCTTTTGCTGGAATGATTAAAAATAACAAACAAAGGGCAATTTATTTTTTTTGGGGGGGGGGGCAATTAAAGTGTAATAACAGGTGTGGGAAGCCTTTACATAATTACATTTCCTGCAATTACACTAATTAGCAATACATTTGAAATGGAAAATATGCACACTCACTCCTGCACACGGAAATCTACAAAGATATAAAGTGAGACGCTTTAGCTTTCTGTGCTTCAGTTCATTCGTCCGTAAACACACACACACACACACACACACACACACACACACACACACACACACACACACACACACACACACACACACACAACATCAAGCTGGTAGGCAGATGTGTACAGGCATGCACTTTGACCCACTTACATTCACTCCCATACTGTAAATTAGTCACCTTTTTCTCTTTCTCCCTCTGTGTGTCTCTCTTATGGCGGTAGTCTCTCCAGCTCTCTAGTACTACTGCAGCTGCTTCACATGCCCGTGTGGTTTGTTTGGTGTTCTAGGAACTAATGAAAATGCTCAGACTGCCTGGTAATGCCTGTTGCACAGACATGCCATACTGTGAGGCCACACACGCACTGGCAAGCACACACAAGTGTTCAGTCTTTTTGAGAGACGGAGAAATAAACAAGTTATCGAGTCATGACTTATCCTCTTCAAACCTTCTGCATCCATGAATGCTTCCCCCCCAATTTACATGGCTCAAGAACCCCAGTCGCAGAAAATTATTAAACAAAAATATAGAGGCAGTGGGGTTTTTTTTTGTTTTTGTTTTTTTACAGGAACATGGAGTAGCTGAAGAGGTGACACACATGTTGGTTAGAGGAAAGCAAAAAAATTTTTTTGTTTTTTTCCACTCTTGACTCAAGTTAAAAATATTTGTCCACTATTTAAAGCTGTTGGAGGCATTTTGTTTGTTCTAAATTGTTTTTAATTATTCAAGGGCTAAACTGGAAGAAAAATCACCATCTTGCCCCAAGTTTATCAGCGAGAGGTCCTAGGTCTGAATCCCGGACAAGCCCCCAATTAATGAAATGCAATATCTATGGGGGACTAATGCAGTACAAGAAAAACTCCTGTCTACTTTAAATCCCAAGTAGCCACAAGAAAAACTTGAGTAAATCAACAGGTGTTGTATTTATTAAGTAATAGTTTCAGAGGAGAGGAAAGGTTTAGGTTGAGCCTTTTGGAGACCAAAGATAGAGAGGCAAGGCTGAGATAATTTAGACATAATGAAAATATTGGCCAAAGGATGTTGAAAATGGAGCTGCTAAGCAGAACGAAAAGAGGAGGATGTCAGAGAAGATTCATGAATGAATGTAGTGAAGAGGGACATGCCGAGGGTTGGTGTGACAGAACAGGATGCTGGGATGGGGTGAGATGGAGGCGTATGATCTGCTATTACGACCCATAAAGGGACCAACCAAAAGACGAAGACGTAGTAGTTTCACAAATTCAGGAGTACAAATCAATGTCAGAATGAGCCAAGGCCAAAATAACAAACAAGAAAAACTGTCTACACTCCAAACTGAGATAACTTACTCATAAGAAACAAACCAGAAAGCAACAGCAGTCGCTCACTACCTAGCATAAACAAGAGAAAACTATTCAAAAATGTGGCAGCTCAGCCTTATCCACTCCTTTAAATGCAAAGCTCAAAATAGAAGTTGGAAATAGACCCAAGTGTTTCTGGGGGGAAGTTGGAAAAGTGAATAATCCTCTACCCAGATGCCATCTTGGCTCCTTATGTGTATGATAATCAGGTTGGTGCCAGTTGCCTTTGAGCTGTACATGGGCCATACCATATCGAGGTACCTACACATTCAAGTTAGCTTATTCTTTTTCACACTATTGAGATGTTCTCCCATGTACTTTAAATGGATTACTTGTAGGTCTATGAAGGTACATCAGCATGTTAGAGGACTTATTTGCACACTAATCATTATGTTATGAGTAAATTGATTTATTTTAAATTAAATAACCTCAATAATTACTTGCTGTACCAATTGTTTAGCTATTTGAGGCAATAACCTTTTTCTCTAGCTGTTTAAGGACTAGACTGGAAAGAAATCACTGCGATGCTCGAAGTTCAGAAGTGGCTGCAGGTCAGGAGGCAGCAGGGATGTTCACAAGGCTGGGGGTTGATTACAAGCTCAATCTCTTACCTGTATTACAGTGTTGTTTGGCAACACTCTGAACACCCATTATATTATTTTGCACATTCATGGTCGCCATGAATAGAATTGAAGTAATTATTTTTCATTAACCATTCAGCCACTCCCTTATAAATAAAACAGAAATCTTTAGGATCATGACAGCAGAAAAGGGAGTTGGAATGGTCTAATGCCATGTCTAATAGCGATATCTGTCAGTACGCAGTTTTAATAACAAACAGTTTGTCTTTCAGTTTTACTTTCTTTTCAATTTGAAATCAGACAAAAGAATGAATGAGTCTGACTGCAGGCAGAAGACAAATGTTATAAATAATAGAACAGGAAACGGGAAAAAATCTGGTCATCTATGAGGTTTGACAGGATTGCTGTGCCACCCTTACTGTTTGCATTGCTTACCAGGTTAATATCATTTGTGACATATACACACACGCTCATGCTTATAAGCAATATGGCGCTAACAGATTGAACAGGGCCTGGAGGCAGAGAGATAGATGAGCATATTGGGAGAGAAAGAGAAACGCATAAAAGAGATAGTTGAGGATAGATGGATGCATGCGGGCATATCTATTATCTTGTATGTGATAGGACGAAGAAGGGATTTACTGTGACGCTGAAATGGAGTGATGATGGATGAATGGTGGGATAGTGTTAAAGAAGAGTAAGTGTGAATGAGCTGATGGTCTCTGTCAGAGCCCCCGACGTTCATCCTTTTTCCCCCCTCTCGTGTGTCACTTTGACGCCCCTCGTTTTTTCCTCTTCCTCTTCCTCTTTCCTATCCTTTCCTCTCCACACTTCGTTCTGCGATATGCTTGGTCTGAAACTGATCCCTGTGATTTCCTAGGTTTTACCCATATACGAGCCCCTGCGGTCAGGCAGAATCGGTGGTAGGAGAGCTTATTTTCACAGAGTAAGTGATGATGATGCTGAGACATTTTTTAGGTAAAAGGTCACAAGCAAATGCAATTACCAGACTGTAAGGATACCTCTTTAAGCTGTCAGTTTATGCAGCTTATCAACATAAATCAGTGCTATTAGAACATTTTTAGTTAGAAATGACTTGTAAGATTGTGGGAAAATAGTTGGTTTTTTTTGTCTGCTATTTGCTTTAGTGCTTTTATGGGCAGCTGTTGCTTTGTTCGTTGTCGCTTGAAAGGTCACCAGTAAACAATGAGCTTCTTCTGTCTTTTAAATTCATTACAAACAAGTTAATAGCAGAGGTTGTCGCCCACGTAGAATAAGACATATGGCCAATAAGGCTGTTATGGCTTGTCAGCTGAAGAAAGATTAAACATAAATTCCATAGTAGGTTTTTTTTTTCATTCTCATTTGATAAATTTGATAACAAGTATACATTGTATAGCACACAAATATTTTTAAGGAACTCATTCATCAAAAAAAGTACTTACAGCAATAACTACTGCAGGGTTACCATTAAAAATTAAGAGTGATGCTTGGGTGTTTCTATGTCAAATTGTAAACAACACAAATTCAGTTAGAGGAGCACTCTTAAGTCTGTGTTGTTAAATATAAACAGCAGCCTTTTAGTTTAGCTTAGCAGATCACTAGCACTTGGAAGGAAAACTGGCTAACAGATAGTAAGAAGATATTCCTATAAGCACCAGTGTTTAAGGAAAATTAGAATTTCACCGTATGAGCAGATATAGCCCACAGACAACTATTTCCCAGAGGGCTGGGATATAAGCAGACCTTATAAATATAACCTGTAAGGTTCTGAAGGGAAAACAACCCTAAAAAGGATTTTTAAGGCTGACATGGAAATTAAAAATCAGATACAGATTTGGATACTGCTCCCGCACTAAAACGCAGTTCACCTTTTGCGGCCTTGCTGTTTCACTGATTTTTTTGGTGCAATTTTGCATGATTTTTTTTTTCCACAGCTCGTTGTTTTCTGCATCCTGATTGGCTGTAGACCATTGTCAGTCCATCTCATGCCGTGTCTCCAGTACAGTACAGAATGCGTTTAGCTTGCAAAATTTACACAAATCTTCGATCGCTAGCAGTGTGACTCTAAAGTGCCGTACTGTATGTTTGTACGTTTTCTCCCCAACAAACACAACAATACCGTAAATTCCGTATTGTTTTTTTAAATGCTTTTAAAATCCTAAAATCCTACCCTTGTATACTTTTAAAATTTGAAATAACCTGGTGCCCAGTTACTTAACAGACCTTCTCGACGTGTATTGCCCCAAGACAGCGCTCAGATCCTCTAATCAACTGCTGTTAGTGCAACAAAGGCAAATCAAGTTGGCTACTTCGCAGATTTCACCTATCACGGGTTATTTTTAGAGCGTAACTACCGCGATAAACGAGGGACCACTGTATATTGGTCGACTTTTCGTCACTTTCAGACAAATAAACAGATTTCACTAACATTTGCTATTTGTAAGCATTAATGAGCCCTTACAAAAAATAAAGTCTGT